TTATAACTATTGTAGTAAGCGAGTTACTACGCAACATTTAAATTTCGACAGGAAACATATTTAACATAATATACTGTAGATAGGTAATGGTCAGATATACAAATAGAAACTAGTTAACCTTTTTTGGTTGTAATTAATCAAAGGAACCATAGGGAGTATAACGCCAAAAACAAACGCGTAAACAAATTCGCAATTAATAAATGTAAGGCTCAAGGAGAAACGATATTCAAAATAATACCACAGTAGATTAGCATGACTTTGCAGTCATGTCGAATAGGCGGATGTGATAAATGCGATAGCGTTAGACGAGAGAATTGCAATATAAAAAATAGTATGATTTATAATGAAATTGACAGTCGCAAATTATCTGACAGTACATCATAATAATACACAGTATGGATTAGTAATTTCGCAAGTGCGTGGGTTAGGTCGATGGCCACATAGGCCACATCCGTTAGAGCCAAGATACGATATCACTAGGCAAGGGGAGCGGGGACTGGACTATAAGAGGGACCCCGAAACGGTCTGTATTCAGACGTGTCTACTCAGGACTACTGCAAGCACCTTCACGCAGCTCTGTATAACGATTGACACTTTTGGACTTAGCATCATTGTGATTGTTGGAACTTAATAAACAACAATATACTTTTGGCATTTGTGTTACTATTATTCAACGACTACCTCAACTTCACAGTAAAAGGTCTAGCTGCCTGCAACTGTTAATATGCTAGTAGCTGTCAGAGCCACCTGTATATTACACTATCTACCTAAATCGTATTTATTTCAATTTTGAAATACGGCTGTTCATTTATCAAATGTTCCAAAACCATTTAAATATAGCAATTAGCAGTAGCCAATATTATAATAACTTAAACATACTCATTTTTATTGTTTTTTTCTGTTTGACTGGAATATTTAAAATTAAAATTGTGTATTTGTGACTGTTCTCTGTATGTAAATGTATTTTTTACCTTGTAGTCTTTTTTTTTCCTGTTTAACCGACAATATCTTGTCTTCTGTTGATCACAATAATATATAACTTTTAAATTATTATCCAGACTCCGGAGTATTAGTAATTTGTAATTATTACGTATTATTATTATTGTATTGCAAAAGTATAACATTATAAATTATAATTATAATATCTTGAGTATCTACAAAAAATTGGAAATATAAACTAGATAGGTACTGACAGGACACGGTACTTTTGATAAGAACATTCGACGGTCTTCTTATCATTGTTCGTTCGGCAACCAGTATAATATTATCATCACAGATTTCCATGTAGTAGTCACGGATAGTCTATCTCAGTCCGTGATGTAGTACCTATAGTATTATAGAAGTCTGTGATTATCTTTAATCGACATTTTCTTCAATCGTCGTTACATAATATTATCACAGCTACCTATATAGCTTTAGTTATATATCTGTGCAAAATATAAAACAAGGCCACACCGACGTGAACTTGGCGACGGCCATCGTGCCGCTGCTTAGAGTCGGTACAATCAAATTAATATGAACATTACGTGATGATAAACGACATTACGATTTATAACCAAATATTACCGTGTGCGGACTGCGGACGCCGGACTGTCACAAGTCACAACTCGCGATCCACGATAGTCGACAATACTATCCTTTGTTTAATTCACTTGTATTTTTTTCAGTTCATCTCACGATTATTTTAAAATGTATATAGTGGTTCATGCTGATACCTAAATTATCGATACGGAAATTTAATAAATATTATTATTGCGCATAGTAGCTATTAATAATTAGTAATTTACATCGGAAACTCGTGCGTTAATGAAGGCTCCAAAGATGGAACAAAAGTCAGAACAAACTATTGAGTTGGAAACCGAAGTTATTTTAAGAGTGCCATCGGTAGTAAATATTAAAATTTACATTTATTAATTAAGTTCATGTTTATCAATAACAATCACTGACCAGTTTTACCTACTTGAAATAAACATGTATTTTATATTATATTATTATCTTAAAAATATTCTTTTACGTTGCAACATTATTAAATAATAGGTACTTAAGTTTTGTCTATTTTAGGAAGTATACTATATGTTTTAAAATTATGATAATAATACATTTGTATTCATATTTTGTGCTTTAGGATGCTGCTAATACATTAAGAAAGATAATAAAAAATAATTCTGATGACCAACTAAGTATAAAATTAGAGAATGATATTCGCAGAGGTGAAGTTGTCATTGGCAATCATCATCTATTTGCAAAGGTTTATTAATTTATTTAATATAATATGACATTTATTTTATTATTATGTATGTTGTTTCTAATATAATATTATATTGAGTGGCCACGCGCACAATTGGTTTAATCCAGTTATTATAATATATTTAGATATTAGAAGCCATTTTTATGGGAATAATATTTTTTTGCTTGTCTATAGGTTGTTGACTTACCAACTATCATTGAAGTTCAAAAAACAATTGACAACAAGACTGTATATAAAACTGCAGATATATGTCAGGTGAAAATAATAATATTATACCTAATACAAAACTATTAAGTGCATGTAAACTTTGGGGATGGAAAATTTAGTATCTATGTGTCTCAATTAGTTTTTGCAATATATCTCTAAGAACTTATATAGTTACTGGAATGTTTCATTCAGAACAGTAAATTAAGATGTTAATATATTGATATTATTATGTTTATGATAGTAATAAGTCAAAATATCCTTATTTAAAAATTTAGAAAAACTGTTTTATAACTAAGCATAGGTAAACATTTTGAAATTTCACTATAGTAAAATAACATAAAATAAAATATACAGTTAAAATGTCTAATAATACAAATAGCAAAGGCATTTAAAAGCTTTGAAATATACTCAATAATCCTAATGCCATCATTTTATTCGTCATAGATATGTTTTATTTTATTTTTGATCTATGGTAGTTCAATAGTCTCAGTTTATGCTGTGCAATTTTGGTAACTGCAATTTTCTCTCAAATTTTTTTAATTAATATCTAAATTGTCGGCTTTTTTTGATCAATCAATATTAAATACATTTTTTTGGCGTTAGTTTGTATGTGTGTGTGTTATGAGCTTGGTGATCTTTGATAATATTACGCATACTAAGGGCCGCTTTCACCACGAGTTTAAACTTCGATTAAAGTTAAAGAGGAATTTAATCGGCCGAATTTGCCCGGTTAAATATTTGTTATCAGTCGATTAAGCTTAATCGAAGTTTAAAGTATTTGGTGGAAGCGGCCCTAAACTGTCAATATTATCTGTTTTCTTTCGCGGAACTATTTACAGTACTAAAAATATTGTTTACGTACAATATTATATGTATTAGTACAAAAATAAATGTTATATAATAATATTAAATTAATGTTTAAATTAATATGCATATTTGACTAATTTTCTTTAAGTACTATTTATTATTACATAATATGATGATAACATTTTGGTTCAATTTGAATTTTGCCTTTTAACCGGTGAATTTGCTTGTTTGAGGTTGCTTTACCACCATCCTCCTCGAATAATTGAGAGTACTGTATACATCTATTTTTATTTTTTACTATATTTCAGCGACAAGTATAATATATAGCTCAACAATTGTTGCATATAAATTATAATCATATTCTATTATTATTATGAATAGGTACCTATAGTTTTATTAAGGTATTTGTTTTGGTTTGGATATTTTATCATTCGTTAATGATACTTGTGTAGTTAGTTTATAGCATACTCTAAATTCAACAATCATGATATTTGACAAATTATTATGCTTTTGAATTTTTTGTATTCTACTAATATCTACTTTGTGGTTCTGATCAAAGATGTTGATTTTATATTTAATTCATTCATGGAACATTTATATATTTATTCATTAATATGACACTTCACATTTCTGTCTTTTTAATACTTTTCCCACACTTGATTATAACTAGGGCCCAGAAGTCCAAGCATTAAAAACTATCTCAATATGTGCTGAAAATCACTAAAATATTAATTTAATTAAAAGGTTTATTACGTTTTTGTAGAAATAATAATTAAAATATAGGAAAAGATGCACAGTTTAATTAACATGAAATATGTTGTTTTATTACTAAATACAACCTAATAATTACAACTAAACCTTTTCCTCAAATTATCCGAGCAAGGAATGTTCTTGTAAAGTTGTATATGACAGTTCAACATAAGAACACTACCTATTTAATTTTTGAAATGGGAAAATATAAAATAATAAAATAATTCATCAAATCATATCATGAATAGCTGGAATTACTGGTTGCTTCCATAAGTAAACATAATAGTTCTACGCAGTGCCGGATCTAAGACATTTAACGCCCGGGGCTAATAAAAATGTAGCGCCCTTACATAGTATTAGCTACAGATGAGGTCAGGGTTTGCGGGTTGTCAACACAATTAAAAAAGTTTTTAAACAGGTACAAATCAAAAGTATATTTTTATAAAACAAATATTTTTTATTTAAATCGTTATCTTAACATATATTATAATATTATAGATCATAGTCAATACTATAGTTCAAAACCATTAAAAAATATAAAAACAAAAACCTAAATAAAAAATCTCTTGATTATTTTAATTAAGTAAAAAATTATAATCTGAAAATTTTAAAGTTAACTTTCTAGCTATTTTGCAGCGAAATCATTAATTATGTCTTCATAATTGATTTGTCTTGCAATTTTATTTTCTATGGATAAAATAGATAAGTTATTAAGTCTTGCTTGCTCTGTAGTAGATCTTAAATATGTTTTTATTAATTTCAATTTGCTAAAGCTTCGTTCACACGAAGCTGAAGTAACTGGCATTGTAAAATATATTTGGTAAGCAACAGATATATTTGGATATGCATTTAGAAGTTTATTTTTATAAATAAAATTCAACATTTCAAAAAATGTTGCTCTTTTTAAATTGTCATCTATGTTGTAAACATGCACTTTAAAGCTCTCTAGTTCTGAAATGAATTCAATTTTGTTGAGGTCGTTTTCATATTAATTGCATAAATCGACTCCCGCTCTTTTCAAGTTTTCCATAGGCCAAGAATAAATTATTGTTGGATCTAAAAATGAAAAATCTTGAGCAATATTTTCCATTGATTTAAATCTTTGACGTAGTCCTATTAAGATATTGTCAATAACATTTTTAATCATTATTAAAAATTTATTTTCTTCACTTATGTTACAAAACTCATCTTCTGCAATTTCTCCGGGTAAAAGTTTCTTTTTTCGTAATCTGACTTTTGGAAATTCCGTTTCTATGCCTAATACTTCAGCTTTATTCTTTGAATCCAATAAAGCATCATTTATACCTTGCTCTCGAAAGTTTTCTAATATTGTAAGGAGACTTTGCAGATGTTTGACAGCTACATCAATTGTTAATTTTGGTTTTTGTAAAATTATATTAATCCTGTCAATTGCACTGAGAATTTTTTCCCAAACCGTAAGCATACAAATAAAAGAAAAACTTTTAAGTGATCTTATCAAATTATCTGCATCAAATTTTGTTTCTTCTGATAATTTTTCTTGTTGTAGAACGTCAAAGCTTTTAAAAACCATATCCAGCTGAGTATTTAATGATTTTATTGCACAATTTTTAGCTGACCACCTTGTTGTACTATACCCTTTTAATGACAACTTTAAATTATTCATTAGAATATCCCATCTTTGCGTTGAACTTGAAAAGAAATTAAATAATTTCTGTACGATGCCGAAAAATGTTTCTACTTTAGGTATACTTTTTGCACAGTTAACACCAATTAAATTTAAGGAGTGAGCTGAGCATGGGATGAATTTTGCAAGTTTATTCATTTCAATAATTCGTGCTTGGACTCCTTTAATTTTTTCACTCATATTTGACCCGTTATCAAACGATTGTCCTCTACAATCAGATATTCTAAGATTATCTTTTGTCAAACAATCTAATATATATTCTGTTAATGATTCACCAGTTTTGTTGTACACACGCACAAACTTTAAAAAACTTTCTATGATTTTGCATTCATTCTGGTTGTTTTGTATAACATAGCATTTGCCATTTGTTCTTGGTGTGCAATGTCCGGTGTACAATCGAATAGTATAGAATAATATTTCGCCTCTATTATTTTTGAAAGAATTTCATCTTTAACTCTTTTTGCCATAATCTCTAGAAACTCGTCTTGAATACCATGAGAAAAATAAGAAAGACCACCTTTTTTGTGTCTTTCAATATGTTTTGATAATGGTTCATGATAATGTGACACTAGATTAACTAAATTTAAAAACTTTCCACTTCGGTTTGATGTTCCCACACTAGAAATAATTTCATTAGATCCTCGAAATGCACTTCCGTCCATTGCTAGATGCATTATAATGTCTATAATTGCCAATAAAACGGATTTCCAGTGACCTTCTTCTTTTCTTATAGAATTTTGCAATTCTGTATCTATACCCTCGCAGTGATTCAATGCCATTTCCAATGAAGTCCAAGAACACACATTTTTTTTATGTATTGGTGAATGTTCATGTAATGGAATTTTTTTGGTAACTTTTTTCCAATTTGTTTGTTGTAACCAACTATTTGATGTACTCATTAAAAACATGAAAAATGCATGAACTTCCTTCAATCTGAGTGAATACATTTTAATTTGCTAGATTAATTTGGCATCTCCCTTTTAAAGGTTATGAACAAGTTTGAAAAAACTAGACTATTAAAAAGAAGTTGTACCTAACTTGTATATTTTTTTAATTATTAGTATATTATTAAAATGAATCTACTATAATCATGTTAAATACAAATTTTAAATTAAGGGTATATTTCAGAAGTTAATAAATGTGGTTTATTGTAATTTAAAATGTATTATTCAATACGTTGTTTAAAGTTATTTGTCTATTAGGTACCTACTCATTATTTTTATGATACATTTTCTTTATGTCTAACTAATATAATTATTTTCATAGATGATTATATGCAAAGAAAATGAAGAAATTTCCATGTCTGACGAAGATAATAGGCCAAACATTTTAAAAAAAAAAGAACCTAATAAAGTAGATAAAAAATATTTGTGGCCACATGGTGTAACGCCACCATTGAAAAATGTACGAAAACGGAGATTTCGTAAAACCCTTATAAAAGAATCTACTGACGCTCAAGAAATTGAAAAAGAGGTTTTGCTTAACTAATTGTTATTTAAAACTTTAAAAGTGATTATATGTCTTTAAGTGTACTATTATATTATTGTCTTAGGTTAAATATCTTTTAAAAAGTGATAGTGAAGCTCTTCGTGTAAAATGGGAACTAGTATCCGAAACAGAGGTTCAAAGTAATAGAAAAAGTAAAGAAGAACCTTTTATGCAAGGTGAAATGTATAATGATCTAAAGCAAGACATTGGTATTTTTTATAGTTTTTATAATATTTAATTTACATCTTAACTCTTTGAATATAATATTCTTAGGGTATTAAATTTATTCAACTAATGTGTTAGCTCCATGTTACTGTTTACTTATATTTTTTCTATTAGCTGAAAGAGACATTTTTGGTGAAGCTCTAAGTGATTCAGATGAAGAAGTTGGTAATATAAGTATAATGGATATGGATGATGATATGAGTAATGACAATAGCTGTTTGTCTGATACTAATTCATTTATGGTAAATTTTTCAATTAAGTTATTATTACAACTGATCATTGAATTACTGCTGTAGTAGATGTAATAAATTTGAATTCAATGATAAATCATTGCATATGGAAAACGATACTGAGTGGAGTCTATATGTTGTATGTTTTTAGTTAGCCTTTATAGTTTATTTCTATGAATATTTTATAATTTATTTATACTACCTACTAGTAGCAATTAATTTTTCTATAAAATATAGTATAGTATGTTTATCTAAATTTTTCAAAAACATTGGATGTATATATTATATTATTGAATCATACATGTATTATTGTTATGAACTTAAGCTAATATCATGTACTTATGTACTGTAGAATGGTGTGAATAGGTCCATGGTATAATTTTAAAATTATATTTAAAATTAGTCTAAAATATTTTTCAATTTAATTATGTATAGAAAACAATAAAATAAGTTATTGATGGTAAAAAGTTTCAATTCTCTGTGATCAATATGTTTTTAATGACAACTTAATAACTACAAAACTTGCTAGAGGAATTTATTTTTCATTTAATACTCAAATTTTGGCTAAGTATTTTTGTAATTTTTTAACTGCTGTATGAATAAATAATGAGGGATGTTAAATTCAATTTTAATGTGTTTTGACAGAGCTTAAAAAGTTTTATCAGCATATATTGAAAATATAATAAAAATAAAACAATTTCAAATGTCTATACGAAAAACACATGATTATAAAACCCATATATTATCGAAATCCTTAGTCTAAAATATATTAAATAATAGTAATTCCTATTTTAGGAAGAAAAACCTTCGATTTCTGGGAACAAGAACCTTATTACAGAGTTTACTAAAGAAATGTTTATTTCTGATGATGATTCCAACTATGGAATAAAGAAGGAAGGAGGAATAAGTTCCAAATTTGATGAAAGTATGGGTTATAGATATGATAAAGTTGTGGATTTTAAGGCTGAATTAGAACTTAGTGATGATAATGAACTTAGTGATACACCTGTTTTATCAACATTAGAAGCTGGAAATGTGTCTGCTAGTAAGTTAAAAAAAAAATCAACAAATCCCAGGAATCCCAGATGTTTATTATATTTATCAAACATTGAATTTGTTTCAGATGACATAAAACATAAAATTGATCAGTTGCAACAAGAAATTGAAGTACTTAAAGAACGTAAATCACAACAAGATTGTGAAATTGCAAATATTGAAAATATAAATTTAAGAGAACGTTTTATACATGTATCTAATAATTTGTTTACTGAGCAACTAGAAAAAGAACAACAGGTATACTATACCCTCCGTAGAAAAAGAAGATGACTGGTCGAGCAGTCAAAACAACTTTTTAAACTCACCGCTTGTCTTTGCAACCACTTCCAGGGGTTTCGGGGAACCAATAAAAACTGTGAAACTATGCTGACTAAAACAGTCTGCCGCGCAGTCATCTTCTTATTCCGCGGCGTGTATATATTATATATATTTTTCATATATTTTTCTTGGAATATATGTTCGATTATAAAAATATATTTGAGTATATTTACTGATCTATTGTACATGTTTTACCTAATTTGTTATAGATTCGTGAACTTCAATCATTTCATCTTTAATTCAGATTTTAATATTATTTTTAGACTTTGATTCTTAATGTTATAAATAATCATTTTTTAATCTTGTTTGAGTTCAATTCACATCCTAATTTATCAATAAGTATATAAATAATCAAGTGTTTATTATATATATTGATATTTTGTTTACACTGAACTAAACATTTGTAAATAAATATTCATAAAATCAATTTTTTTTTTATACTTGTATAAATTTGATCAATAATCAAATTATGTATGATTTTAAATTTACTAATTGCATAGCAGATGAAGAAAATAACAGTAAAAAAAGTGATTTCTGTATCTTTTATAGTATCAAGTATTTTCAGAGTTATATTCAGTATATTAGTTTAATCACAAGTTATAATATAACTTTTTAAATAGTTATTACTTATAAGTAAACTTATAACTTTATAAGGTTGACACAACACTACTGAAAAACATTGTGACACACCTTATAATATTATCACTATTGTTATATTTAGTTTGTAATTTTTATTTTATAGAAATATAGATTTTTTAATCTAAGTCTAGATAAGGTTGTATAATATATAAGCTATCGATTGGATATTTTGTGAAAGCGGTTAGCAGAAAAGTTTTTTTTTTTTAGTGTATTTTTTAATTGAGTTATATTATATAAAAAAAAAACTAAATTATTCCATTTTAAACCTATACAATAATATAACATTTTCAATTTTTCAATCTAATTTTTAATCCGTTTATTCTTGTTGAATGTATTTTTATTTTATTTATCTGAAATAATTGAGTTCACAATAGCAACATGCCAGCTTCCAGTTTGGCTTTTTTTTTTATAAAATGTATTAATAGATTTTTGCATTGACTATTGCCGTAAAAGCGTACATACATTTTTGATTATCAAACTGAGATTTCTGTAAACAGTTACTTGCGCACAATACCTACAAATATTATTTCAAAATAATCAGACAATCAAATTAAAGTCAAAAAAGCGGGTAATTGGATGTCGCTCTGCTGTACAGTAGGCTACAAGTGGGTCATTGTATAATCGATTTTATTAAACTTGAATTAAATGATATAATATCAGTGTATAAGAAAAACGATTCTAAGCGGAGACGGTTTGTCAGTAAAGATATTTTATATAGTTATTAATTATTATATCATGTAAGTTGAATTAATGTTTTAATATTATTATTTTTTATTCGTTTCTATGGTTAAGTATAGTAAAGGTATAGTTTAAGTCTTAGAAATTAAAATCCAATTTTTCGGTCGTTTTTACCGTGGCATTAAATAACTATTGATAAAATCGAAAAATTACCTCTCTAAAGTACCATCTTGATCCAATTTGCTATAAAAACCGGGTACTATATGTTGAAATCGAAGCACTCCTTCTGGTAGAAATTGTTTATACAGGATATAAGAAGATGAAAAAATAAATAAACACCATTGTAAAAACATTAGCTTTCTCGCTCTACTCAAAATCTAAAATTAATTACATACATTATTTTACTAAACTTCTTCGTCCTTCTTAGGTGTCTGAAGTATCTATTATTTTTACAAGTAATTCATTATTATTTATTTCAATTTTACTATTTCAACTCCAAAGTATAGTAATATATTATTATATTCCTTTAAGATAGTAATAAGTAATTACTAATTACCTAAACCGGATTCAGATGCACTAAGAACTTTGATCACGTAATATGTTTCCCTACTAACATTTTATAAAAGAGTGCAAGGTTCCCAAACACGTTCAAAAACCACAATAAATTATTTATTTTTATAAATTTAATGAACATTTATACTTATATGGGTAAAGTGTAATAGTTATTAAATCTTTTTTTTTTATTTAGGCAAGTACAAGAACATAATATTACGTTTTTTTAAAAACTAAATTTATATAGTCATTTTTTAATAATGCTAGTGTTTGTAGTGGCTGTACAAATTTTAGTTGGGTTTCGGGATATGAATTTATGCAATTTTTAGTATTCCAAATATTGTTACTGTCATGATGGATAATATAATATTAAAAAATATCATATTTTGATTCATAGATATCACAGTGGTAAAAATAGATATTCAAAATCATCTCAATAACAAACTTGTTAATAGTTTTAAAAATTTTAATTCACAAACCAAATTCCTTCAGTTTTGTCTGGTATTTTGGTCAAACAGATATTTTTTTAAATCGAAAAAGTGGATCTTATTTAATGTCATTGTGAATGCCAAGACAATTTAAGTTAATTGACGGCGAATATAATTAATGATTGACATATAAATTGGATTTATGAGGTCCTACTGCTATATTTCAGGACATTTTTATTAAATATTGACCAACAAATAAACAATTACAAATTAGATTCACATACACTGATGTTCCTTTACTTTGAACATACTTACAAATCACTTTTTGTCCTCATGATAAATTGCCTATATTAATTGCCTTAAAACACAACCTACTCCAGCACCCTTAACATTACACTTTATAAATGTATAATATTTACAATTTCCATCCATTAATTATACATCATGTAATATTTTAATAATAATATTCTTAAACTTGAAAATTATTATTCCATAGCTTTTCATCATTGACGACCAACACAATTAACACGGGTGGAGGCAACAAAATTGCATTTTCCCTAAATAATGCCCCTTATTTAAGATACATGAGGAAGCCTTAACATTAAACTTTATACATTTATAATATTTACATATTATTCATCTAGAATATAATAAATATAGAAATAATTTTGTGACTTTACAAAAAAATCCAATGGTTATATTATAAGACAATACAGAGTTTATGTGTTGTACTACAGAGTGTATGTATTATGTATAAACAAGATTGAAAACTTAACTTCAATCAAGACTTCAAACTAATGCTATAGTGGTTAAGGATAATTATAAAACAAAGAAAATGAATGGAGTAGGCCTATGAAGGGAGACCACTTTAAGTAATGCAAAATGCAGTACCACCAGTTTTGTTGAATACAATTTGACTGTTTGCGCCCAACACTGAGGGGGCAGAAAGAAAACCACTCGGTAAGAACCGAGAAGAGAATATCGAGATGTTGCACTAATCTTGATGCTTACTACTTGGCGGGACCATGGCACGCCTGACCGTTCACGGGACGACGACACTATGGTGAGGATTGGAGGTGACGTACATATTGGAAGTTAGCCGCGTACTCGTTATCAACGTATTGTTTCGTCCCAGTCCTCATAAGTTCCCCATCATCTGGCGTGGTGTGTGTGAGGCTGCCTAGGTCTGCCAACTTGCTGTAGAAGTGAGCCAACACAAAACGGAGGGTGTGTGAAAGGCCGCCACGGTCGTCCAGATGCGCCGCTCACTGACGAATCTATCCGCCTACTACACCTGCCTTAATTTATAAGTAGTATATAAGGAATGACCGATTTTCTATGAGCCTCGTCGGCCATTGCACCACTCCGAATCAACCACGAGGACAACCCCACCCAACATTAACTAGACTGAATATTCCATGTTTCCGTTGTATAAACTGCTTCCGTCCTTTCATAACATCCGCCTTTCCTATTCAGATTGCCAGTCGTATGCCGAGCTATTCTACGTCTCAAGCAAAAGGTATTTAAGGTGCATCGCGTAACCGTAAGAGAGGTTGCCTATACACCACCCATTACGGGTATAGTGTGTCCCGTTATATCGAGCGATATTTCGTTTAGCTCCAAGTAGCATTTTAGCCCACTTAAACAACTGTTATTATTTGATTATAAAATACTTACACCAAGTTGCATTTATTGATTTAATGGACTACTGCCTGCTCAATCATATTTAAGAGACAGTTATATTCGCACACTATAATGTTTCATTAAATATTTGGTGATTCTTTATATGAACCTATAAATTATCGTTTGGTAGCTAATAAAAACTGCAGTTTATTTTTAAACAGTACATCTAAAATTGGATGGAAATTTGGGCCAAAAAATAATAAATTGCGAATTATGTCAGCCCATTCAAAAAAAAAGCTTTTGTTTTGGAAATTGTTCTATTCATCTTATGGCTTAGAGCGTACATATCAATATATAATAATATGTAAGAACAAAACTATAATTTTAATTTTTCCATCTTCTAGAAGACTTCACAACTTTACTATAGCTATATTACTCTTATAATCTGTCCAATTCTTCCATGTATTTTCTATATAATGAAACTTGCCAATTATTAGAAGCACTATTTTTTGTATTTCATCTGAACATAACTTATTTGTCTGTCCATAGTTTCTAGTTTTTTTTTGTTTTTTTTTTAAATATATTATTGTGTAATGTAAACTTAACTGTTTTTGATATATATATATATATACTAGGTCACTAATTCCTGCTCACTCGCCTTTTTCATTTAATTAAGTCAAATTCTGATTTTTAAATATATTTTCTGATTTCTGTAATACTAAAGAGTATCCTGTCGAGCCGATATAATAACTTTGATTTTTCTCAAATCATACTTGGATCCATATTTACAAATTATAAATATAGATACATTAATATCAATTACCTACTAAAAGGTTAAACCTCACCTTTGACCTCATATTATTTAATCCCCCCTCCTCGTGTATAAATACCACCTGAATATCTATGCTATATTTAGCATATAGATGTATATCTATATATATAAAATGGAGACAAAAAATTCGAAATTGCATCAGTTGAGAACGGCTGGGCCGATTTTGCTCAAATTTTTTTTAAATGATAGAGAATGTCGGGGAGCGGGTTTATAGCATAAATTATGGACCTAACTCATGTGAGTTGGAGATTTAGAGACAAAAACTGAGTTACACCGGTGGCGCCCTCTAGCAGATAAAAATAAAAATATAAATATAATATAAATAATAATAATAATTGAAAGTGTTTGTAAGCGAACTCCTCCTAAACGGCTTCACCGATTTTGATGAAATTTTTTGTGTGTGCTTGATTGCGCCCTTGAATGGTTTAGATTCATAATCGGACCCGGTAGGCCTATTTCGGGGAGGTGCTCAAACGGGAATGTTGAGATTTACGGTTGATATTTTTGTTTATAAATGGTTGCCATGGGTTTTAAAGCTATTATAATAATAATTATTCGTTGCCGTCATTCGTTAACACCATACACCGAATGTTAAATAACTAAATAACGAATTGAACAAGGTTTGACTCATATAGAATTTGTACATTTAACGGGAAACGAAGTGCACGGGATCAGCTAGTTTAATATATATATACATTACACATAAAATATATATAATGTGTTATTTTCATATTTTATTTAAGTTCCAATTATAACCTTATAGTAATATTTTTGCTGATGCATAACAACTACCTTGTTAATATTACAGAGATGTTATTCTAAATATTGATGAATTCTTTTAGGAATATGATCTTCAGATTTACATGTTAACATTGAATAGATTTTCAATTCGGATGTTAATTTAACATCAGAATTTAGACCAAATATTAACGAGAACACCTTGCATGTGCATGGTAGGAAGATTGGTTTAATATAATTTTAACTTAATGACTACATTAAGATAATGTCTAACTATTCATGTACACTTGTATAACATTGTAGTAACATAGTATTTCTATGTGGGAGAATGCTTTCTACCAATTAGTTATTTCATATGTTTTTATCTTATTTTTATATATACATAATCAAGTTATAATAGTACTTTTTGAGTTGTTTAATTTAAATTTGGTAAATTCCTTGTTGGGCTAAAATAAATAACCCAAAGAGCGATGAAAAGTATTCAATTTAATAAGAGGTAAATTAGCTATAATATTACAAAGTAACTGAATGAACATACAATTTTCATTAGTGTATAGCATTCTCATAATATATATTTATTCATAAGCAGTGTTCGGAATTATCTAGATAAATTTATTTAGATGAATATCCAGATAATTATTTGTTCATCTTTTATCTTATCTAGATAAATAGTTACAAGGTATATAAACATTCATCTTAGATAACTAATCAAATAAATTCATATAGCTACATTTTTTATTGATAAAAATTATGAAATTGTACAAATGCATTTTTAAATATTCTCAAACAAAGTTTATGGTTTATAAATAATGTAATTATTTTTATTTATACAATTATTATTATTAGGTTCTTAGTGCCCAACTACAATATACCTAAATTTAAAGCCATTTAAAAAATAATTGTATCTTTTTTTTTATCTAGATAAAAAAGTATTTATCTTTATTTTATCTAGATAAATATGAGTTAAGTTATCTTTTATATCTATCTAGATACAATTGAGTTGCATTATCTTTATCTTTATCTAGATAAGAAAATACTTATCTAATCCGAACACTATTATAATAAGACTCACGACCCACTTTTAGATTCTGATCGGAGAGATGAATAAATTGATTTTACAATGATGTATATTTTTTTAATTTTTAATTTTTATGGCTGTCACCAGCGTTTGGGGCAGTAAAACTGCTTAGATTTTCTTCAACAGTATCTTGTTCGATTGCGGAAAGTTAATCTAGTTGGTGCGTTTGGGAGGTCAAAACGAAGGTGAAATAATTCCTTTTTAGGGTTCCGTACGTTTCCCTACTGAAGCCTATTACTTTCGCTCGGCTGTCCGTCCGTTCGTCCGTCCGTCTGTCGCCAGGCTGTATCTCATGAACCATGAAAGTTAGAAAGTTGACATTTTCACAGATTATGTATTTCCGTGGATGCTATAACAACAAATACTAAAAAAAAGGGATAGGAGCAACCCAGGGGGGTGCTATAACGGGAATTTTGAGATTTCAGATGGACATTTTAGTTTATAAATAGTTAACACGAGTGACGTCGTATTGTTAATAAATGGTTTCCATGAGTGATGTCGTATACAAAGATTCGTTTTATAAATTTTAATACAGAATTATAGTGAATCGTTTTAAGTTACAAAATTATACAGTCCACTGTTATTTACCCTGGCCTGAATTTTTTTCCCATCCCGCAAATGACAACAGACATTAGATAATGGTACGGAACCCTTCGTGCGTGAGTTCGACTCGCACTTGGCTGGCTTTTTTTAAATGTAGGTACTATCCAAGCACATAATAAATTCGAGTCTATTCTCTTGACACGTTCCAGAAAAACACGTTCGGCTCTGATCCGTATCGTTACGATTCGGAAACCGTACATCGTCCGTGTAGCGGTGGCGGTTGAATACAATGAGCCTGGACATAATTTACCACCACCGCAACTTTCAAAATTAAAATTCCCAATAGTTGACAAAAGTGGCGGGAAGAACAACTTAAATATTTAGGATAAACGGGAATTTTTACACACAATCAGTTTCCGGCTAAAAAAAATATACGTATTTATATGCGATTTTTACTGGTTGTTTATATTGGTATATTCTATACACAATTTTCATAGCAATTTTGATTTGTTTTGAACTGTTTAGAGACATTTTCAGTTTCTAATTTTATTCATTTTTTTTTCTATGAGTGTCAATAAAACTATTTGTTTTGTAAAAAAGACTTTGCGTTAATATAAGGCGTCTACTATATTGTTACAATACAATTTAAAAAATATTAAAAATATTCTTAGTCCCAGATTTTTGTATGAGCATATCAAGTTCATATTTTGACAAAATACGGAAAATTGCGAAATTTAGCAAATTATTTTTAGTTAAGATTTATAAAAATTTCTCTTTTTAAATCCAAGATTTGAAAATTCAATAATTTAATACAAGATTCCTCATAAGTTTGTCAACCTTCATAAAAAATAAAATCTAGAACCAAATCAAATACATTTTTTATGAGCGGAGGTCATATTTTTATAAGATTGGATATTTACTCGATTTCGTTATTTTTTTTGCAATTCTCAGTCTCACTTCATAATATCATCAGCATTTTCTAAACGTCTATATTTAAAACGACAGAAGCATAATGAAACCATAGATAGTATCTTTAATACTACAACAAGTGTGGGGAGATAACAATATTTGACATATCATCTTTTACTACATCAAAACAACACTAATTAAATGCTTTGGTTACACCTACAATTAAAATAAACCTGTTTACAAATATAATAGACATCTCTTGAATGGAAACATATATAAAATCTACCCTTAGCCGATCCAACATTCTATAAACAAGGTAATATTGATTTGTTAATTGGTGCTGAGTTGTTCTTTAGGCTGTTAAAAACTAGTCAGTCATGCAAAAACAAAGGTTGGCCTACACTCCAGAACACTGAATGAGGATGCATTACCGCTGGTGGCTATGAACTACCGCTTAAGGGAACCACAAGTGAAAACGTCACCTGTCACACTACAGCCGTTCTATCTACTTTAGACGCAGCCGTTCAAAACTTTTGGAAAATTGAAGAGATACCGAGAGATACCCATATGACTAAAGAAGATTTGGTTTGTGAAGATCATTTTATAAAAACACATTATAGAGAGAAAAGTATTCGGTATGTGGTACGTCTACCGTTCAAAGAGCCACCACCTGCTGTGAACGACTCCTATCAAGTAGCCGTAAGAAGATTGAAAAGGGTTGAACGAGCTCTCAAAGGGCAACCAACTTTGTGCACTATGTATAAGGACTTCATGTATGAATATGTAGTAATCATAGTCGCTAGTGTCGCTGTCATCAGTTGTCTGGTCGACTGGGCGCGACACCAGCCGACATTATTATTATTATTATGATTACCACTTTTATACTCTGTCGTTACTAGTTAGTTCATTTCTTTTTGCCGATCGTTATTGTGTGTACCTCTGTCGTTACTAGTTATGTTTATGTAATGTGTGCAAACCATGCTTTCACTCATGTGTGTATAATTGTTCTTTAGATTGTTACTTAAGTTTATTGCAGAAATAAGAAATATGCTATTGTTTATGAATTAATATATTTATGAATCAAACTCATTCAAGTTATTATTAATCCTGACTTAATTCTTCCGTCTACAACTTCAGAAGTGGGATACAAACCAAAACGCCCTCAACTTCGAAATGTCGAACTGAAAAGACTACCTTACTTCCGAAATGAATGAGTCAACGAGTTCAAATGGAAACACGTCTTTTCCGACACAGGTTCAGGAGTCAACAAATAAAGCAAGTTATTCTTGGATCAGAAAATAATAACGATCATTTTCAACAACAATCGTCGAATGACCTTCTGAGAGCAGTGCCACCAACCTCCGACAGTGGCGAGTCAAAACCAACACCGGTAATCAGTAACACGAATTTTGATATCAATAGTACGTTGTGTACACTATTACAGCAAAATCAACTATTAATCAACCGCTTACTAGATCGTGACCATACTCCAGTGGGAAGTGAAACTAGGTTTTTGACAAATCCTGATGGATTTTATGTTATGCCGGACTTTCACAACACAATACAGAATATTTCAGGTGTTGAATCTAGGGCTCAAGCCCGAGACTGGCTTCAGTCAGTGCAGTCAGTGGCTCGACTTCATCATTAACCCAAAGCATTCAAGTTGGAGATCGTCCGAACAAAGTTGGTTGGAGCTGCAAGTAACTGGCTATGTGGACGTAACTTCAATACGTGGTCTGAATTTGAAAAACAATTTGTGTCCACATTTTCAAATTCATCCACTTCCTCGGTAGAGAGTATGAAATTATTATTGTCACGTATTTAAAATAAAAACGAATCCTCGGTCAAGTACTTCCACGATAAGTCACGAATGTGTCGTGAAGTCAATCTATCGTTTTCTGAAACGAAGCAGCAAATAATTGAAGGCCTTCATTGTCGAGACCTGTGTTTTTATTTACTTGCTTGTGATCATTCAGAAGAGGATTCTTTGTTGATTGACATTCTATCTTTCACTACAATGAATAGTGCCTGATGCGTACCAATTCTCGTTAATAAATAATGAGCTCGTTGGCCACGCTATATAATAATTTTACCGGTGATGGTGACTCTTGTTGGGTCACTGTGAGGTATTCAGAGAGGTACTAATAATAATAACAACGCTAATAAATGGTAGAGAGGAAATAATAATATTTTGCAAGGAATACAATAATCTTTACCTTACATATAATGGTGTTAGTAACTCAACAATAATAGTACATAATAAACTAGTAGCAAAGGACAATATAATAAAAGTTGCAATGACAATAAAATAATAGTAGTTGCAATGACAAGAAAATGGCGTATAGCCGACTCACGACAACCGTATGTGTGATGACCTGGCACTGGCTTCAAAGTGGTTGTTGAGATGTCGTTGAAAGATGAAAAAATACCCTCCATGAATTGGTAATGACGATGATGGCGAAGGTGATGACAGAACAATGGCGTACGTATAGAATAATAATATAACTTCACTCATAGGCATAAAAGCGCGAGCACAAGACTTGTATATACATGTCACTCATATGCGTATAAGGCGCGAGCACAAGACTTGTGTTATAATAAGAAGACGTGTCAATACCTTGTCGTGGTATATAGACACATATATTAAATATACCACGGATCTATCCCATATGAGACCGTCACGACGATATGCGACAGTGTGGCTGTCCGTGCGACGACTGGTGGCCGTTGTGACCGTCTCAATACGATCTACATTTGTTGCGTTATGTAACGCTGCCGTGCATATGACTTTACGCAACAGTGCCAGATATGCTAATTTCAAGACTGATCCTCAGCCCCCATTGAATCCTCCAGTACGTCAGTCAGCTCAAAGGTCTCAAGTAGCCAAAACTTCTGTCTCAACAACTTCAATCAGTAAACAACCACCTTCCGCCAATCCAAATGCATCGGTCACAAGATGCTACAACTGTTCATCGAATGGTCATTATGCCTCATCGTGTACCAAACCAAAGCGTGAGCCAGGTTCCTGTTTCAAGTGCGGTTCCACATCACATCAACTTAGGGCATGCCCTTCAGCAGGTACCAACAATAAAGAAGATGTAGCTTTAGTCCAGTCACCTTCAGAAAATGTAAATTCCACCTATACTATTAAGTTAGCTCTTAAGTTCCCTAGCAATGAGATGGTTAATGTCCTAGCTATTGTTGATACAGGCAGTCCTGTTAGTTTGTTAAGACAAAATATAGTTCCTTTATGGTCACCACCACAAGTTCCTCCAATATTATCGTCTGGGTTGGTGGGTATAAATGGTTCAGAACTAGTTGTGTTAGATCAAATGTTTGTAGATATTCTACCACCGGATGATGAACACCCGATTAACGTTAATATCAATATAGTCCCAGATAGCACCATTAAATGTGACTTACTAGTAGGTAGAAACTTTTTATCTCATCCAAGAGTAGTATTAACCATAAATAGTGGTTCCTTTGAAATTGATTTTAAGCGTTCAGATATTGTTCCTTTTGATGAGATACTTAGTATAAAAAGTAGCCAAGACTATAAAAGTATTGAGCTAAACCTGAATATAGAGGAAACTTTACCTAGTCATGTTAAAAGTGAAATTGAAAATATTGTGACTAGTCTTTATGTAAATAATAGTTCCCCTCCGTCTAAACTGATAACATATGATCCACCTGAACTTAAGATTGAACTTAAGGATAGCAGTATATTTAATTTAAATCCAAGAAGATTGTCTTTCTTTGAGAAAGATTAATTACAATAATATTAGATGATTGTTAGCCAGAAAGATTATTGAACCTTGCAGGTCAGAATTTAGTAGCAATATTGTTTTGGTTAAAAATAGAAATGGTGAACTTTGTTTATGCGTAGATTACCGATAACTTAATAAGCATATGGTTAAGGATCGTTACCCACTACCGTTAATTGATGATCATTTGGATTCATTAAGAGGGAAAAAATTTTACACTTGCATTGATTTAAAGGATGGATTTCACCATGTTAAGGTAGCTGAACATAGTCAAAAATATACGTCTTTTACTACACCGTTAGGTCAGTTTTCATACCTTCGTATGCCCTTTGGTATTTGTAACGGACCTAGCATATTTCAACGATTTGTTAATAATATTTTTAAGGATTTAATTAAGCAAAAACGTATTATAGTATATTTTGATGACATTGTTATAGCAACAGAGACTATTGACGAAAACTTAAGTATTCTTTCCGACGCTTTGAAGTTTATGAATGCGCATCAACTTCAAATACGGTTTGATAAGAGTCAGTTCCTTAAAATTGAAATAATATACTTGGGTTAAAAAGTTAGTGTTGAAGGGATTCGTCCAAATCCAAGAAATGTGTCTGTTATTCGTGATTATACGGTCCCAACTAATCACAAAGCTCTTCATAGTTTTCTTGGTCTAGCTTCATATTTTCGTCGTTTTATATATAATTTCTCTGTTATAGCCAAACCATTATTTGATCTACTACGGAAAAATGTTCCATTCCAGTTTGGCATAGACAAATTTAATTCTTTTAAACAAATTAAGAATAAGCTGATAGACCACCCTATCTTATGTTTGTTTAACCCTAAAGCTGAAACTTAATTGCACTGCGACGCTTCCAGTTTAGGATTTGGTTCTATATTACTCCAAAAGCAATCTGATAATGCGTTTCATCCAATTTTCTATTATAGTCAACGTACTACAGATTTAGAATCAAGGTAACATAGTTTTGAATTGGAAATTCTATCAATTATTAATTCCATTAAAAGATTCCATGTATACTTAAAGGGCATTAAGTTTAAAATAATAACTGATTGTAATAGTATTACTTTAACTCTCAAAAAGAAGGACATAAACAATAGAAATGCTAGATGGGCTTTGTTCTTACAGAGTTATGATTATCAGATTGAACATAGAATTGGTAACCGTATGCTACATGTCTAAAGTCGAAATCACGTGTTAGTACTAGAAGGGTGTACTTTTAGTCAGACGTTGTCCATTAAACAAACAACAGATATGGAAATTAAAAAAATTGCTGAAGACCTAGAGAATTGTGAACACCCGTTATATGAGCTGCGTAATGGCCTAGTCTACAGAAAAAGTAAAGACGGACTTTTATTTTATGTAACCTCAGAAATGCGAGATCATATCATAAAAGCAAGTCATGATGATATGGGTCATATAGGTGATAAGCGTACAGTCGAATTAATTAAAAGAGTGTATTGGTTTCCAAAATTGAAGGAGTATGTGAAAAAATATATTGAAAATTGCCTTAAGTGTATAGTTTTTTCCCCCAAGTGAAGGCAAAAAAGAAGGCTTTAATACGCGCTCGTGGTTTTTGATTTTTCCGGCAGTGTTCCGGAAAGAGACGACGGACCTAACATAATCATTCAGAAAGCCAGGAAAATTTACTATCCGACGAGATAAATTTCAAGAGCTCCCAGGCTTTTTAAGTGACCGTACTTAGTGCACGACAGTGCCAGGTGACTAATGCCGGTATGACGCGTAAAGTATACGCGCGCGTCGATTTTGCTTTTTCCGGCAGTGTTCCGTAAAGAGTCGAAAGATTTATCATAGATATTTGGAAAGCCAGGAAAATTTACTATCTGACGAGATAAAATTCAAGAGCTCCCAGGTTTCTTAAGTAACCGAACTTAGTGCACGAAAGCACCAGGCGACTAATGCCAGTAAGACGAGAAACGTATACGCGCGCGTGGTTTTTGATTTTTTCAGCAGTGTTCCGGAAGGATTCGACGAACCTACTATAGATATTCGGAAAGCCGGGAAAATTTACAATCCAACGTAATAAAATTCAAGAGCACCCGAGCTTCTTAAGTAACCGTACATAGTGCACGAAAGGGCCCTGTGACTAATGCCGGTATGACGCATAAAGTATACGCGAGCGTCGTTTTTGATTTTTCCGGCAGTGCTCCTTAAGGAGTCGAAAGACCTAACATAAATATTCGGAGCGCTATTAAAATTTACTATCCGACGAAATAAGTTTCAAGAGCTCCCGGGCTTCTTAAGTAACCGTACTTAGTGCACGAAAGCGCATGGTGACTAATGTTGTATGACGCGAAACGTATACGCGCACATGGTTTTTGATTTTTCCCGCAGTGTTCCAGAAAGAGTCGACGGACCTAACATAGATATTCAGAAAACTAGGAAAATTTACTATCCGACGAAATAAGTTTCAAAAGCTCCCGGGCTTTTTAAGTAACCGTACATAGTGCACGAAAGCGCGAGGTGACTTATGTCGGTATGACGCGAAACGTAAACGCGCGCGTGATTTCCGAATATCTATATAAGGTCCGTCGACTCTTTCAGGAACACTGCTGGAAAAATCAAAAACCACACGCACATATACGTTTCACGTAATTCCGGCATTAGTAACCTGGCGCATTCGTGCACTAAGTACGGTTATTTAAAAAGCCCGGGAGCTCTTGAAATGTATCTTGTCAGAAAGGAAATTTTCCTTGCTTCCCGAATATCTATGTTAGGTCCGTCGACTCTTTTCGGAAAACTGTATACGTTTCGCGTCATACCGGCATTAGTCACCTGGCGCTTTCACGCACTAAGTACGGTTACTTAGGAAGCCCGGGAGCTCTTGAAATTTATCTCGATGGAAAGATATTTTTCTTGGCTGTCTGAATATTTATGTTAGGTCCGTCGACTATTTCCGGAAGACTGCCGGAAAAATCAAAAACACGTGCGCGTATACGTTTCGCGTCATACAACATTAGTCACCAGGCGCTTTCGTGCACTAAGTACGGTTAATTAAAAAGCCCCAGGGCTCTTGAAATTTATATCGTCGGATAGAAATTTTTCCCGACTTTCTGAATATCTATGTTAGGTCCGTCGACTCTTTCCGGAACACTGCGGGAAAAATCAAAAACCATGTGGGCGTATACGTTTCGCGTCATACAACATTAGTCACCAGGCAATATCGTGCACTAAGCAATTAAAAAGCTCCGCGGCTCTTGAAATTTATCTCGTCGGGTAGTAAATTTTCCTGGCTTTCCAAATATCTATATTAGGTCCGTCGACTCTTTCCGGAAGACTGCCGGAAAAATCAAAAACACGTGCGCGTATACGTTTCGCGTCATACAACATTAGTCACCATACGCTTTCGTGCACTAAGTACGGTTAATTAAAAAGCTCCAGGGCTCTTGAAATTTATATCGTCGGATAGAAATTTTTCCCGACTTTCTGAATATCTATGTTAGGTCCGTCGACTCTTTCCGGAACACTGCGGGAAAAATCAAAAACCATGTGCGCGTATACGTTTCGCGTCATACAACATTAGTCACCAGGCGCTTTCGTGCACTAAGTACGGTTAATTAAAAAGCCCCAAGGCTCTTGAAATTTATCTTGTCAGGTAGTAAATTTTCCTGGCTTTCCGAATATCTATATTAGGTCCGTCGACTCTTTCAGGAACACTGCGGGAAAAATCTAAAACCACGCGCGCGTATACGTTTCGCGTCATACCGGCATTAGTCACCTGGCGCTTTCGTGCACTAAGTACGGTTATTTAAAAAGCCCGGGAGCTCTTGAAATTTATCTCGTCGGATAGAAAATTTTCCTTGCTTTCCGAATATCTATGTTAGGTAAGTCGACTCTTTCCGGAAGACTGCCGGGAAAATCAAAAACACGCGCGCGTATACGTTTCGCGTCATACCGGTATTAGTCACCTGGGGCTTTCGTGCACTAAGTACGGTTACTTAGGAAGCCCGGGAGCTCTTGAAATTTATCTCGATGGAAAGATATTTTTCTTGGCTTTCTGAATATTTATGTTAGGTCCGTTGACTATTTCCGGAACACTGCGGGAAAAATCCAAAACTTTGTGAAAGTATACGTTTCGCGTCTTACAACATTAGTCACCAGGCGCTTTCGTGCACTAAGTACGGTTAATTAAAAAGCCCCATAGCTCTTGAAATTTATCTCGTCGGAAAGGAAATTTTCCTTGCTTTCTGAATGTCTATGTTAGGTCAATCGACTCTATCCAAAATACCGTCGGAAAAATCAAAAACCACGCGCGCTTATACGTTTTGCGTCATACCAGCATTAGTCACCTTTCGCTTTCGTGCACTATGTACGGTTATTTAAAAAGCCCGGGAGCTCTTGAAATTTATCTCGTCGGATAGAAAATTTTCCTTGCTTTCCGAGTATCTATGTCAGGTCCGTCGACTCTATCCGAAATACCGTCGGAAAATCAAAAACCACGCGCGCTTATACGTTTTGCGTCATACCAGCATTAGTCACCAGGCGCTGTCGTGCACTAAGTACGGTTATTTAAAAAGCCTGGGAGCTCTTCAAATTTATCTCGTCTTATAGAAAATTTTCCTTGCTTTCCGAATATCTATGTTAGGTAAGTCGACTCTATCCGAAATACCGCCGGAAAAATCAAAAACACGTGCGCGTATACGTTTCGCGTCATACCGGTATTAGTCACCAGGCGCTTTCGTGCACTAAGTACGGTTAATTAAAAAGCCCCAGGGCTCTTGAAATTTATATCGTCGGATAGAAATTTTTCCCGACTTTCTGAATATCTATGTTAGGTCCGTCGACTCTTTCCGGAACACTGCGGGAAAAATCAAAAACCATGTGGGCGTATACGTTTCGCGTCATACAACATTAGTCACCAGGCCCTATCGTGCACTAAGCAATTAAAAAGCTCCGCGGCTCTTGAAATTTATCTCGTCGGGTAGTAAATTTTCCTGGCTTTCCAAATATCTATATTAGGTCCGTCGACTCT